ACAAGTCAGAAAACACAATGACAAATTTGAAAACAAAATAACATTAATAACAAACCAATGATTAATCCCAAACCAATGGCGCTGTCTCAAACTATACCTACCTCTTCCGGTTTGTCTGATTTGTCGTTGTGTTTTCTGACTTGTTAATTTGTTTTTTAGACTTGCATTTGCGTTTGTAATTTGTTATTTTGTTTTCAGAATTGTGATTTGCTTTGCACTTCACGGCCACCGTATTATCCAGTTGATTAGGCATTTTTGAACAAGTTCAGACGTTGCATTGAATAATTTGACAAATCACGTTCGCGTTCGAACGCGGAATTTATTGTTTTTAGCATAATAGGAGAGTTAGAACATTCCATTAAAGCATTTTAGGAATCATTTTTGTTGCATTCCGACATTTAACTATTTTCACATAATGTTCGATTCGACGACAGTGTGATTCGCCAAATAGTTAAGTGTTTAACACTCCTGCAACATTCCATTAATTCACATTTTTTCATCGTAGATTTTTAATTGAGCATTTTGACTATCATAGGCGAACGTTTTAATTTTTTTCGACCATTTGATTTGAGCGTTTTCCGCTTTATTGGTTTGATGTTTTTGCTTCATAGGCACAATCAAACGTTTGATTACATTATGGAAATGATCAGTACGTTCGAATGATTTATTCGAGCATTTTCCGCATCAGTCGCGAGTTTAAACAGTTAATTGAGCATTTTTTAAACATCATTTGAAAGTTCAGACGTTCACTTGAGTATTACAAGAGCGTTCGAACATTGCACGAACAATTTATTGAATCACACCGGCGCGATTGAACCGACTGCATAATAGGCGCGTTACATTCCTGCGTTTTTAGTAATATGTATTTTGTCGGGTTCCTTTATTTAAACGATTTCCACAGCGATACCCTAAAATGCGGTCAAGGTAGGCGGCATGCTATGTTTTGAGGCACAGCCTGTAAGTGAGCGAAAGAGAGAGAGAAATCGAGAGGAGTTAGAGGGGGAAGGGAGCTGGAGGAAAAGCTCCGCCTCGTCTGAGCCGCTCTGGCTGAGGGAGATCGCAGGGAAGTCGGATGCTTTTTCCCCTGTAGAGAGGGAACACCGCGGAGGTGATTCGCCCCAAACAACATATAACCGTCGGGATTTTAAAAATACACACTTTGGATTCGCCGATTACCGAGAGGCGAGATGAGGGAGAACTTGAGAAAGTAAGTGCAATGCAAACCCGAATAAATGTCGGCTCGTGCGAGTAGAGGACGCCGAGGAGTTTTACATTCGCCCATCTGCCGTATAGCCGCTGCTTCTTTGCCGTTCTCGTTTTCTTTAACGTTACAGCTAAGCAGGTGCTTGTTCGGTTTTTACATGGAGCCATCGCAGCCGGGGTTAGCGACATGCCCGTTCAGCGCTTGATTTGTTTATTTTTCCAATGCCAAACACATCGATAGTTCCTGATGTTCCTGCTGTGCCCTTCTTGCAGCATGCAGATTGATCAACCTAACGCGGCGTTCATATTGTCATATATGTTTTTGAGCTGTATTTGATTGGAAATCCTTATGTTGATAACGACGCTTGGCCTTTCAGTCTCCCCCATATTCGTGCGCTTCCCATAAGTTAACGTTATGCCACACAGAAGATCACTGTTTTGGTTTTAACCACATACTTACGGCTGCGTTTGCATTCAACCATAACCAAGAGCCACAATTAGAGGTGTCTGCGTGATGCGTGTTTGTGTGGGTACCCTGTGCTGTTAATGCATGCATGTAGGTGGACATTCCTCCTTCTTGTCCAAACCCACATTACTGCTGTACTTCCGCTCATGCACCGCTTTGAGATGTGCAGGTATGGAGATCTCAGTGGGAAAATTGCCATCAGGCCATTGGCATGCTCTACCGAGACTACCTGAACCTAGAGGGCGCTGCCAGATACTGACTGGGTATCAAAGCATAGAGAGCTGCCTGTGGTGCCCACAAATTGTGTATGTTAGGGGTTTTCAAACTTTTTGATGTCAAAGATTACCCCTTCCTAAAATACGAAGACGGATAAACCTATATATTATGATGTGTACAGAAACGTATTATACTTCTTCGGAAGAAATATTAAGCATGATAAAGACAACATGTTTCCTAAATGCATTGTAATTAATTAATTGGCTTTTGTTGAGTCATTGTACTACTTGTTGTTGTTTTTTGTAATTATATATACACTACCATTCAAAAGTGTGGGGTCAGTAAGTTTTGTTTTTATTATTATTAATACTTTAAGAAATTTGAATAGCTTCTAGTGCTTTTATTCAGAGGAGATGTTTTAAATTGACCTAAAGTGACAGTAAGGTTTTTGCATTGTTAAATGCTGTTCTTTTCAACTTTCTATTCATCAAAGAATCAGTTTCCACTAAAATATTAAGTAGCATCAGCATATTAGGATGATTTCTGAAGGATCATGTGACACCGAAGACCAGAGAAATGGCTGCTGAAAATTCAACGTTGCCATCAAAGGAATAAATTACATTCTAAAATATGAAAACCATTATTTTATTTCACAATTTTACTGTTGTTACTGAATTTTTTATTTTAAAAAGTGCAGGCTTAATAGTGAGCATAAGATTTTTATTAAACAAAAACATCTTGCCAACCCCAAACTTACTGTATTATGTAGCCTAATATGTATATGTTATATTTCTCTGTATTGAGTTGACAACTTTTTTTTCTATTAATTTTAAAACCTGAGGAGACATAGGCCTATTTTTGTTTCAATTCAGATTTATTTGTATAGCACTTTTCACAAAGAATGCTATTTCAAATCAGGAAGTGTAGATTTATTTATTTATTTATAACAAACTATTATTAAATGTGTGCATATTGCAAGGAAGGAAAGAAAGAAACTTTTGTCATAACAAATCTACATGTAGTTTTTGTTCCTTTCTGTTAAAAGAGGCTGTGAGTAGAATAAAATAATTGTGATATGCATGGCATCAAACAATGCATTTTGATAAATTCATAGCCATTCAGAAGGCAATTCACACATGAGTTCAGTCTGATGGCATTCAGATTTCATGTGTTTCCTTAAAATCCGCTGACATGATTCCATGATTGAGTTTAAGGGACTAGAAGGCTTACATTAGTCTCGCTGTTGTAAACAGGCTATAATGGGTAGTAAACCTATACAGTGTATTACTCAAAAAATACAAGTTTACCAGGTTTAAATATTACTATCAATATAGCAATATGTGTATTAGAAATATCATTTATCTTGTTAGTTCAGATAAATGTTTCACAGATGTTCCAGGTTAACAGTATACCTAACAAAAATGCTGTCACAGTCCCATGGTATTGGTATTACTATGGTAATTTTTTAGTATTCCGATTGTGAAAGGGATTCCACGCCATAATGTTTGCATTTCAGAGACACATGTTTTCTGCAACCCTTTTTTAAAAACCCTTTCATACTTTTATTTCGACCTCTTTGACTTTTTCAAAAAATATTTCTTCTGAAAAACAATGCTTGGAAGTTCACTTCCATCTCATTTTTGTTGATGGTTGGAACCCCAGTTTTGTGTTAATTCACACATGAGTTCAGTCTGATGGCATTCAGATTTCATGTGTTTCCTTAAAATCCGCTGACATGATTCCATGATTGAGTTTAAGGGACTACAAGGCTTACATTAGTCTCGCTGTTGTAAACAGGCTATAATGGGTAGTAAACCTATACAGTGTATTACTCGAAAAATACAAGTTTACCAGGTTTAAATATTACTATCAATATAGCAATATGTGTATTAGAAATATCATTTATCTTGTTAGTTCAGATAAATGTTTCACAGATGTTCCAGGTTAACAGTATACCTAACAAAAATGCTGTCACAGTCCCATGGTATTGGTATTACTATGGTAATTTTTTAGTATTCCGATTGTGAAAGGGATTCCACGCCATAATGTTTGCATTTCAGAGACACATGTTTTCTGCAACCCTTTTTTAAAAACCCTTTCATACTTTTATTTCGACCTCTTTGACTTTTTCAAAAAATATTTCTTCTGAAAAACAATGCTTGGAAGTTCACTTCCATCTCATTTTTGTTGATGGTTGGAACCCCAGTTTTGTGTTTTTTCCTCCTAAAATCACTGTAGGGTCTGAGTATAATTTATTAGTTTTGAAGTTTCTCAACCTTATTAGAATTCTGCAGAGCTGCTTGGCTGGCTTAAACCCAAAATCACAAAAACATCCCGGTCCATAGCAACACTTCAAAACAAGGCATCTCAGTAGTGTAAATTGCATTTCCACTAATGGGTTCATTTAGAGCCCTTGTAACAAAACAGGCACTGTTGCGAATGTAGAAATCTAAACTCTCTTCTTTTACGATTCAAACAAAGATGACCCAGTACAATAACTCAGATGCTCAGAACTACTCCCGTGGTCAGAAGTAGGATCTAAACAATGAACTATTTATTCATGGGAAATATCAGATAAAGTGATTACGAGTTGCAAGACAATTTTTTGGCAGAGGTGAGCTTTTGGCTCTTTAAGTTCCATCAGTCTTTAAATGTTTTCAGTCAATGCCAAATGCACATGCAACAGGACCACTATTAATTGGGATAAGTTGCAGTTTAGTGCGTTTCAGTCACAAACATGCCCACAATTCTTTGCATAACTTTAGTTTTGGCACATTGCCTATTCAGTCTTCTTTACTCAAGAGACCTTTAAACTTCTGGCATAATGTGACAAAATGTTTTTTTTTTTTTTTTAATCCTATGCATTATATTGCTGGGAAAACACATTACAACATCTTGTAAAAGTCCCTTTCATCCCTTGTTTTTTTCTTAAAGGCATCGTTCACTCAAAAATGAAAGATCTGTCATTTCTCACCCTCATGTTTTTTCCCATGGAACATAAAAGGGATGTTTTTGAAGAACATTCTGGTCGTTATTTTCAATATAATGAAAGTGAAATAGAAATGGAGGCTCTAACGTCACTAAACAGCATAACTGTATCCTACAAGTGGTACAGTTGTTTTGCGTATGGACCAATTTTATGATACGTTTATGCTGCCTTTTTTTTTTTCCTCCGCGTAATGCCCCATTTCTCATTTACTTCCATTGTACTGAAAATAATGGCCAGGCAAGGGTATTCTTTTAAATTCACATTCTGCCTTCCACAAAATAACAACATGAGGATGAGTAAATAAACTATAGTTAGTATGTTTTTAGCCATTGTCATGATAATCCTGCATTAATGGATTTATTAAATGTGTTAGAGTATCTGTTGAAGATGAAGAATATAGCTTAGCTATTCTTGAGTTTGAAGACTACACAGACTTATTGTTTGATGTAAAATGACTCAAGGCTTTGTCTTAATCTGTATTGCCCTAGATGGATGACACTGTCTCTAGCACTAAATATGAGTCATAAACACATTTATGGATGTTGTATAGCATCATTTGGTATTTATTATAAAGTATGTTTTTTCAGACAGAGGTACTGTTTATTGTATTTCATCATGTTTTTGCTTTCAGTCACCAGAACCAAACAACATGTTGGGACCACCCAAAGATGGCAGAACTGTACCAGTCATTAGGTAGGCATGATTCAGATCTGATGTGCATGTAGTACGGCTGGACATGGCTGAATATGAATAATTTATTCATCATTACTTTTTTTTATTACTGTTGTCACGCAAAACTGTTAATGGAGATCTTCATGTGGCATTTTATTGTATATTAAAATGTTTTAGTAATTATTCAGCAAGGATATAATGTGTATATTTAACATCTTCATATTTACTCTTGGCAACAGTGGCTGTAAAATCACATGTTTATATATAAATATATTGGTATGTAAATAAACATAAAATTGAAAGGCTGAACCATATTTCCCAGCTCTGATATGAAGTAGATATATCTCCCACTTTTGCAGTATTTGAATCTATGTGGCAGTGTAATTGCCCTTGAATAAAATGTCAGATTGTTAGACGAAACATTTTTGATCAGTGGACTTAAAATGCAGAAAATAATTGGATGAAACTAGCTTGATGTTTCTGCTGCCTGTTTTTCAGAACCCAACAAATAAGATCAAAATTAGAAACTGTCAAATGCAGAGATGAGAGGTTTGACTGTGACCGTAATGAAATGTTGCATGATCAGTTTGCTAAAATTAACATTTGTCACCAAACAGCGGATCTCAACAACGTACGGTTCTCGGCGTACAGGACGGCAATGAAGCTCAGACGAATGCAGAAAGCTCTCTGCTGTAAGTCCAAAAATTTCCTCTTTGCGATCACGCAACACTTTTTTCAGTTTGAACATTCATCCTACTGATAACAGTAAGCTAAAATATTCCTCCTTTTGTAGCATAGCAACACTTTCGCAACTTTTGCTTTTTTTCTGTGCACAGTGGATCTTCTGGGCATGTCTGCAGTCTGTGAGGCCTTTGAGCAGCACAATCTGAAACAGAACGAGCAATTCATGGACATCATGCAAGTGATCAACTGTCTGACCAGCATCTACGACCGTATGGAGCAGCAGCACAGCAGCCTGGTTAACGTGCCCCTGTGCGTGGACATGTGTCTCAACTGGCTGCTCAACGTTTATGATACGTACGTTCAACCATTTTTTTTATTGTTTGTGTGTTTAACATGTTAAAGCAATAGCTCAAATTAAAATTTTGTCATCATTTACTCTCCCTCATGGCATTCCAAATCATGGCATGCTGTCTTCTGTGGAAAGTAAACAGAGACATTTTGAAGAATGTCCTTGCTGCACTGCATCAGAAAAATCCTTGATTAAAAGAAGGTCATGCGAGTTTGTAACAACATGAGGTTGAGTACATGATGACAGAATTTTAAATTTGGGGTGAACTAATCCATTAAATCTTTGAACATATGAGTCAGAGAGTATCAGTTGGAGTTGGAGTCAGTTCTCAGCATGTTTCTTAGTAGGATCACACTGAGCCATAAATCATGCAGTGTTTGAACATGGAGGTGGTAGATTCCACAGAAGACCCCCGTCTGTCCCTCAGAGTAAACTGAGAGAAAAGCATTGGAGGTCTTTTCATTCTACGTCTGCTTTTTACCTAGATTGTCTTGCAAAGCTATGTTATTTAAAGAAGATGGGGTGTTGACATGGTATCTTAAATACAGTTTGTTTGAATTTAAACCCTTAAGGGGCCGTTCACATGTCACGCCTAAAAATGCGTGGAAAACGCTAGGCGCGCAGCTTTCTGCTTTTTTCCCAAAGCGTTCGGGCGCTTGCGCTCCAGATCACATGTCACGCCTAAAAATGCGTGGAAAACGCTAGGCGCGCAGCTTTCTGCTTTTTTCCCAAAGCATTCGGGCACTTGCGCTCCAGAGGCGTCTGCCGTTGCTAAGCAACCATGACCTGTGCACTTCATGAAGACGCGGAAGTTTCAGCAAAGGATAAATGGATTTGCAGCACTAAAAATCGCTTGCAGTAGCTCTGCTACTAAATTTATTAAAAAATGTCTATCCTGTACAGCTATGATGAGCTGTTCCTTCATCTTGGCTGAGCTTTCAATGTTGTTACGGGAAAGGATGAAGCTGATTGGTTGGTTCTTGTCACATGACCCGCGGTGCGCTTGCGGCATTCTGAAAAGTTGAAATGTTTTTATAATTTTTATCATCATTACATTTTATGGAAAAAATGAGCGTGGCGCCACCGCGTCGCTTCCATTATGAGCACGCCTGCCACGCGTTTACATTTGAAATAACGAACTTGAGCGTGCAAAAAACACGATATGTGAATGGCCCCTAAAAATGTCTTAAACATCTTAAATGGTATAACAAAGTAGTTGTCATTTTAAAAGGTCTTAAGTTTGGGGACAAAAATGTGATTGTTCAGTTTCAAAAAGCCATGATTTAATGTTTCAAAGTCAAAATGTGGCTCTATTCTGCAGGCTCACGGTTGCAAAGTAGTTTCCCATCAATAAATACAGTGCATTTATGCTACTGTTGAAGAATTATGACTGTTTTTACTCTTTTGTGTTTAAATTGAAAGATGTTGTAGATGGTTGTAGAAGAGCTTCCCTCTGGGCCACCCCATCACAGAAAGGAAAGACTAAAACAATATTTAACACATACAGTATATAGATTTTACTAGTGTCTAAACAATAATCTGTTTATTTAATTTTTATTATCATATCTGCAAAATCCAACTGAAATCAACCTCTAATTTGTATGTATTGATATATTAGTACATAAACCATTTTCAATACAGAGTGAATAAAGCTTGTTTTTAAACTTAAAACTTTTTGCTGATATAAACGGCATTAAGTCCTCATTAAATAAGTGTCCCAGCCTGTTTAATTATATAAAAGAGAATATGGGTTTGTTCTGTGTGGACATACGATATTAATTGTATTTGTTTGTGTGCGAAATAGGTCTTAAATTTTAAAAACCCTTCCTATACCCTGGTTGCAGAAAAAAATTCTAAAGAATGTCTTTGTTTAAAAGCAACAGCAGTACTGTATATTTTACCAACTTATGGTGCAAAAACATTGAGAGTATTTTGTTTCTGATCTTGACTCTTTATCTGCAAAAAAAAGAGCAATTGACGGTCTCGCTTTATTCATTTGTCACCATGTTATTTTTTTTTTTTTTACCGCAGAGGACGAGCCGGAAAGATTCGTACCCTATCCTTCAAAACAGGAATAATCTGTTTGTGCAAAGCTCACCTTGAAGATAAGTACAGATGTAAGTTTTTCTGCTTATCTTATATGCTTCCTTCTTTCTATTCTGTCTCTAAGCCATAATAAGAGCCAAGATATTCACTCGGTTAATGGAACTGTACTGCTAGCCGTTTACAGCTCTCTCAGGTGTTTTTAGTGTCTTGTAGTATGTTGTCATTGTTTGCTTGTTAATAGCACTGCTGTAAACACAGTTGTAAAGCTTCGGAGTTTGCTCGTTTAGAGTATATAGCACACAGTATAGTGCAACAGCTGCTCAGAAATAAATGTTCACCCACCTACAACTGCACAGCAATTGATGGCATTTACATTAATAACAAGTGTTTTAATACACTTCAGAGTGATGATATAAAGAAAACTGTTCCAAATGGCGAAAAACTGAAGAAGAAAAAATACATAGACAGCCATTTAAAAGTGTTTTTAATGTTTCTGAAAGAATACTCTTATGCTCACCAAGGCTGCATTTATTTGATCAAAAATACAGTAAAAACAGTAATATTGTGAAATATTATTATAAATTAAAATAACAGTTTTTTTTTTTATTTGAATATATTTAAAATGTAAATGTAATTTATTCCTGTGATGGTAAAGCTGATTTTTAGCAGCCATACAGTGGTGGTCAAAATTATTAGAACACTAGAATTTTCACCAGCTAAAAAAATTGTTTTAAATCAGTTATTTCTATCTTTTGCTGTAGTGTGTCAGTTCAAGAAACCTACCTGCAAAGCTACAGTATTGTTAAAAGTTTTAGGCACTCGTTTAAAAATGCTGTAAAATGAGGATGCTGTCAAAAATAATGTCATAAATAGATTTTCTTTATCAGTTAACTTAAAAAAATCATCATTTGGTGTGACCATCCTTTGCGTTTAAAGCAGCTTTTGCGCTAGGTGCACTTGCGCATAGTTTTTCAGGGAGCTTTGCAGGTAGGTTTCTTGAAGCATCTTGGAGACGTTGCCACAGTTCTTCTGGATTTAGTCTGTCTCAGTTTGTTCTGTTTCTTCATGTGATTCCAGACAGACTGGATGATGCTGAGATCAGATCTCTGTGTGAAGCACTGCTGTTGTCAGACTCCTTGTGCAAACAAAAATCTCACTGGATTATTACAATTATTGGCAAATTGAATGTTTGGAAATGTAAACTGATATTTCCTTCTGACACACTACAGCAAAAGTCAATTTTTAGCTGGTGAAAATACCAGTGTTCTAATAATTTTGGCCACCACTGTATATAAATACATCAATAAAATGTTTTGGTAAATGTTTAATATAATATAATTACGACAATACATAATCTATTTTGCTAATACGTTTAATTGATGCATGTCACTGAACATTGAAAAATTCAATTAGATGCTTGAGTATGGATCAAAGGATTTTTTTTTTTCTGTGAATCAAAATATGATAGTTTTGACTCTCCGTCTCTGTTACCCGTCTCCCTCATAATTTCTTCCTGTACTCTCTAGTTTTATTCCGAGAGGTGGCCAGTGCCACAGGCTTCTGTGACCAGCGGCGCCTCGGCCTCCTTCTGCACGACGCCATTCAGATCCCCAGGCAGCTGGGTGAGGTGGCGTCTTTCGGAGGGAGCAATATCGAGCCCAGTGTGCGCAGCTGCTTTCGGTTTGTAAGTAACCACCGTCTTCATTCATGAACAGATTAAGTTAAAGCGGCCATGTAGAATATGCACTTTTTCTGCGTTTCCTGCATTTATTTTCTTTTGCTCTGATATGAAGGCCAATAACAAACCAGAGCTAGAGGCTTCAGTCTTCCTGGACTGGATGCGTTTAGAACCTCAGTCGATGGTTTGGCTTCCTGTCCTTCATCGTGTGGCGGCCGCTGAGGCAGCAAAGCACCAGGCTAAATGCAACATTTGTAAGGAATGTCCTATTATTGGCTTCAGGTATGGACCTTTTCTTTAGTGCTATTATTCAGAATGACTGATTCGGCCTCAGGTGCTTTAAAAGTATCAGCAGTTTTTTTTTTTTGTGCATTATTAAGCATTGCACCAAACTTCAAGGCAGACTTTGAAAAAGAAAAACTTGGTCTGTTTTGAGGCTTGTAAAGCTGCACTGTATATTTTCTATTATTATTGGTGGGAGAACACAGTACTGCTTGTACTTTGCATAAAGTATTTTCATATATTTCACTGTGAATTCTACATGGTATCATCGTGACCCTATTTACTTTCTTCCTTGTCTTACGAATCATTCGTTTGTTTTTTCATGAGATTTTTTGGCTGTTTATTCATTATATTTCCAGCAAATAAGATCATGGATAGCATGGAAAAACAATGCTAAAAATCATGAAATGCAACTATGCATCACTTTGTATTGTTAGTATTGTTAGAATAGAAAATTTATCAGGTTGCTCAAAATGCTTCCATATTTTTGCCACAGCAATTTTATGTTGCATGATATTTTAATCAATATTAATGCAGTGTTTTGCCTTTCGTTTGTTGCATGTTAGGCTGAGAAATTGCACTTCTGTTGTTGTTTATGCACAAAATGTTCACTATATCAACTTATCACGTTAGTCTCTACGTAGGTTAATGGTAGTATTTATACATTTCTGTGTTGGGTCAGCACTTTTAATGCAAAATCTGGGTCTTGTGCATGTGCAAAAAAATGTCTAAAAGATGTTTTCACTTGGCATAACCCATTGATTTACAGTGAGAAATAATATGGGACATGACTTTGTATGTTTTATCCATTGGGATTTCATTGAAATGGGGAGTTTGTGCCATAATTTTTTTTCTTCTCCCTGTGCCTCGGCTTATATAAGTAGAAAAGGAAAGTTGTTGGGGAGATTAAGAGAGATTTATTCGATTAAAAATTATGACTTTTTCACTGCAGAATAACATTAATTTTTAATGCCATTTCGTCAAAGGAATACAGTTCACTCACTAAAAGAAAACTGTCAATAGTAGCTCACCTTCATGTTATTCTAAACCAGTGGTTCTCAACCCACGGCCCGCCACGAATTCAAATGCGGCCCACCGTGCTGAACACAATTTTTAAAAAATACTTTCAGTTTTACAATTCATTTTAGTTTTTACATTAATTTAAAAATGTACTAAATAAATATAAGCTATAGCCTAATGTTTTTATGTAAAATAATTTTGTTTTTCATATATTATTTTCAGACATGAGCAGTACTCACATAGCCTAATTAACGTTACGCATTTAAAGTAACGAGTTGGTTTGTATTGCTGACATAACATGTAAATAATATGCGTGCGGCCCGCGAGACTTGCACTTGGACCATAGTGCGGCCCGGTGGAAAAAAAGGTTGAGAACCACTGTTCTAAACCCATGTGACTTCCTTTCAAAAGTTTGGGGTCAGTAAGATTTAAAAAAATAAATAGTCTAAGCTAACCAGGGTTGCATTTATTTGGTACAGTAGAATTATATATTATTATTACTTAAAATAATTGTATTTTATTTTAATCTGTTTTAAAATGTGACCCTGGACCACAAAACCATTCATAAGGCGCTGGGGTATATTTGTAGCAATAGCCAACAATACATTGTATGGGTCAAAATTATTGATTTTTCTTTTATGCCAAAAATCATTAGGACATTAAGTAAAGATCATGTTCCATGAAGATATTTTGTAAATGTCCTACTGTAAATATATCAAAACTTAATTTTTGATTAGTAATATGCATTGCTAAGAACTTTATTTGGACAACTTTAAAGGCGATTTTCTCAATATTTTGAGTTTTTTGCACCCTCCGATTCCAGATTTTCAAATAGTTGTATGGCAGCCAAATATTGTCCTATCCTAACAAATCATACATCAATGGAAAGCTTATTTATTCATCTTTTAGATGATATATAAATCTAAATTTTGAAAAAATTGACACTTATGACTGGTTTTGTGGTCCAGGGTCACAAATGTTATTTTTGTGAATCAAAGCTGAATTACTCCAGTCTTCTGTGTCACATGATCCTTCAGAAATCATTCTAATAAGCTGGTTTGGTATTTGTATTATTTCTTTATTATCTGTTGTGCTGCTTAATATTTTTGTGGAGACTCTTTTATAAATATGAAGTTCAAAAGAGCAGCTTTTATTTGAAGTAATCTTTTGTAAAAGAATAAAAATAAAAATATATTTTGTAACATGTACATTTAATGCATGTAATGCATCTTTGCTGAATAAAAGTAATGATTTTATAAAGAAAAAGAAAAAAAAAACGTACTGACCCCAAACCTTTGAACGGTAGTGTATGTATTGTGTAGGTAAATCATGAAAGAATATTTTTCTGCATTTTTTTCTCTTATTAGAATGACTATTATACTATTAGAATACAGCAGAATGACTGTTATATGCTCTCTATTGAGAGTATGTGAGAACAGGGAACAACTCCACCTGGAGGATCAAGATGTAACTACACTTTTCCGGGAAATAACCTTGCATGCATGTCCCTTTAGATCCAGGATGTTTTGAATGTTTTGAATAAGACTTTAACACTGATCTCACTGTTTGTGTCTGGTCTCTACAGGTACCGAAGTTTAAAGCACTTTAACTATGATATCTGCCAAAGCTGCTTCTTTTCTGGCAGAGTGGCTAAAGGTCACAAGATGCAGTACCCTATGGTTGAATATTGCACACCGGTAGGTTTTTTGCTTTTTGCCTTCATAGCATTGCATTGGAAGTTTAGTATTTGGCAAAGTCAAAGTGTTTTAAGATTAAAGTACAAGGTATGACTTTTTGTGTCTTTTTACTTCAGACGACATCAGGAGAGGACGTGAGAGACTTTGCCAAGGTGTTGAAGAATAAGTTCAGGACAAAGCGCTATTTTGCCAAGCATCCTCGCATGGGTTACCTTCCCGTCCAGACCATCCTTGAGGGAGACAACATGGAGACGTGAGACTCACTTCATTGTTACCATCAGCTACTGATTAATTAGACACGTGACAGCTGATAGGGCCAATTTTTTGTCTATTAGTATTAAAAGCATAGTGCGCATCACACTGCGACTCCAGATGCCATCAAGAGGGCAGAATTAATGTGTCCACCATATTTTAAACAATGGATAGTTGATCATAAGGGCAGGTTTGGACTGATTTAGGATCATACTGGCCTATTTTAGTATTATTTATGTACTATTATAGAATTGTATATTTTCAGTTTATTTTAATTGTAACATTTTAATAATTTTATATGCTGTTATTAAAAGAATTTTAATACATTTTTTATTTCTGTTCAGGTTTTAATTTCAGTTTTAATCATTTTAGTACTTCAATTTAAGCTTTTTTCAGTTAGTTGCTAAGATAACATTTATAATTTTTGTTTATTTTTAAAAGGTTCATCTAATATTTATATTTAACTTTATTTCAGCTTTATTTCAATGATTAAAAAATATTTTTAGTAGTTTTTGTTTTCATTAATAATGACACTGGCACACATTTTAATGATATATTTACAGAAAGAACTATTATTAGTAAAACAATCAAAGTCCTGGAAATCAATACTTACGTTTTACGCATAGTAATAGAAACATGCCTCATAGCGGGCTCATAGTTGAAAAGGGTTGTTTCATCCTGTTTAAATCCACTCAAAATTAAAAGAAAAAAGGAAAGAAAATAATGAATTCACCTACATTTTGGCTGCTATAGCTCTTCAGCCAAAAATGCCATGAAATGCTAAATTCTTGGTGGAAAATTTAAACTGTTTCTTTACATTTTGTATACTGACATGAAGAAAAAGCTGCATTTCATCTGACACACTCTAAATAAAACAATTTAACCTGGGCAAACAGTAGCAAACGAGAAAAATAAAGATGACTCTGAACACTTGCTAACCTTAAATTGCAGCTGCAAGAGTTTTGTTTGGATTTTTTTTCTGCTTTACCGTGTGCATTGATCATTACTCGTGTTCACAGTAGGAGTGTGGAATTATTTTTCCCCCTGTAGAGGAGCAGCTGCAAATGTGTGCAGTCTGTCAAAGTAATCGTAAAGCTGTTCTAAATGCATACACACATTATTCTTACAGCATTAACTTTTTTTTTTTCCCCTTTTTCATTTCAATCCTAACACACAACCAGCAATGTTGAATTAACCTATTTCTCAAAAAACTGATTTTGCAAGAGGGTTAATTGTCATGTTTGTGTTATTGGCCACTAAAAAATGCTGTTAGGATTTAACTGTGTTGTCATATCAGTGGGTTTGTGTGTTTGGTGCTTCTTAACAATCATGTCATTATCATGCTTTCAATGCATCTACTTGTCCTGTCCATCATTACATCTTTTTTTGTCTTGCAGTCCTGTTACACTGATCAACTTCTGGCCTGTTGACCATCCGTGAGTACATCCACACACCAACACGCTGCTTACTGGATCACGTAATGCAAGCCGTGCCACTGAAGAACATTCAGGATTTTCACGTCACACTTACAATATGACCCGTAGTCCTAATTTGAAATTAAGTGCATTTGAACCGTCCAAGTTTTATTGAAATTCAAATTTGAAAGTCTAATGGCCAAGTAAATCAGAATTGAGGTTCTACAATTCCTATTGGACGATGCTTCATCCACATAGATGGATATCAGTGCAGTGTCTATTCTTCTATTGGTCATCAAATTTAAGAAAATCATGTAGTGATATAGCGGTTCCCTTTCGATACTTCACTCGTACTGCGTCTTGCTTAAGACGCATATGGGAAAAAGCCTTTTTTCTCCTGAACTGAAGCCTATTTCATTCACGCAGTGAAACTGCACGGCCATTGGTTCGTGCAGGGCTTTAAAAACGAACCAATGGCGCGGCAGCGGAGCTGCACGAGCCTATGGCGACGAAGCCCTCCAAAGCCAGCCTATGGCATCCTCGGCCCGACCTATGGGCCCTGCACCTCTGGCCGCTCAACGGGAGCCTTCGTGCCTCCCAGAGCGAGTCTTAAACACAATTTTGGAGGCTAGAGCTCCGTCTACGAGACGCCTCTATACCTTAAAGTGGTCTTTTTTCTCCACCTGGTGTTTAAACCGCGGCAAAGACCCTCTCACTTCCGAATTAGCAGAGGTGCTGGCTTTCGAGCCGCTACAAGCCGCCAACATTAGGTCGCTATCGCTAAAGACTGCTCTGCTTCTAGCACTAGCATCAGTAAAGCGAATAGGAGACCTGCAGGCGCTCTCAATGAACCCTGCCTGTCTGGAATTCGGGCCTAACGACTCTAAAGTCTTCCTGAAACCGAGGCACGGTTACGTACCTAAAGTGCTCTCCACTCCGTTCAGAGCACAGGTCATTACGCTCTCCGCGCTTCCTCCAACTGAAGAGGACAGAGAGCTATCGGGAACCGAGGTTACGTTAGTAACCGAGTACATTTTATCACTACAAAAAAAAAAAAGTCTTCTGCTTTTCTATAGGAAATTATACACAAATCTACATGAAACACTCATCTTCCATTGTCAAAACTGTGAGATATTTTGGAATGTGTCCATCCCATGGCTTCCACCATTCATCTGCTAGACTAACATGTCACTGTGGTGTAGGTACTCTTTTAAAAAGGGTTATCATTGTTAAATCACTCGGTGTGAGCTACACTGTATCATACACTAGAGTTCAAAGGTTTGGCGCCCGTTAGGTTTTTTTTATTTTTTTCCAAATAAGAAATGAATACTTTATTTAGCAAAGTGACAGAAAAGACATTCATAATGTTGCTAAATATTTTCATTTAAAATAAATTCTGATCTTTAAACTTGGGTTTCATCTAAGAATCCTTAAAAAAAAAAAAAAAGTCACGGTTTCTTCAAAAATTAATTTCTCATTTTCTTCTTCTTATGTTCTTATTATAAGAGACTTCTTTTAGAAACATTAATAAAATATTACAGACCCCTGACTGTTGAACAATATATTGTTTATTTGCATATATTTAGCTTCAAATATTGTGAAAAGGGTATGTCACTAAAATTACTAAAGTAATTCCTGATTAATGTTATTTTTTAATATCCTTATATTTGATTCTATCGGATATATAGCAACCCTGTTTAATTTGTATAGTAATGCTCAGAGTTAAATAAAATGCTCTTCCTCTATAATATAATATTGATATATTTAGTTCATCCATGTTTTCTGACCTTTGCTCTTCTGCCACTGGTAGGCCGTCATCTTCCCCCCAACTCTCCCATGACGACACCCACTCACGCATCGAGCATTATGCTAGCAGGTCGGTCTTTTTTAAGCATGGTTATTTTGGTGTTGCTGTGTAACTGTATATTTAAGAGGCCAGACTTGCATCGCATTAGGGCTGGGTAATGTGACGGTGTATACCATGCAATGGTACAAATGTGTCATACAGTGGAAATGTTGCTGTACCATTTATACCATGATTTATATATTTTCAAGGGTTTGAAATGTGTATTTTAACCTGATAACAGAATGTTTGTTTAGTAACAAAAGAAAAAATGCATTTGCGTTAATGTTAAGCATGTAAGTTTGAACAGTGGTGCCTTACTGACGTGAGCGAATGCAAATGCATGAGCTGTTCATGAATGAATACAGAATGATATTGTGTTTTCACAGGCTAGCTGAAATGGAGAACCGAAATGGCTCGTATGTGAATGACAATGTATCGCCTAATGAAAGCATGTGAGCTTGCAACTCTTTTACACTCTACTGTACATAGTATTATACCGTAAGTCAATCTAATAGTTTGTAGAACCTAAAACTGACCTACTTGCACCTTGCGTACTTTTAACTGCTTGTGGTTGCCTAAAAACATCTCCTTTTGAACTTAAAAATGGGCAAATGTGTCTATGAAAGTGCTTATCATAGGAAGAGTTCCTCTAAAAGTCATGTCATTTCAGATTAATTTCCATTTTATAATAAATAAAATAAATTTCTCATATAAGCTCTTTCCATCCATACACAAAGCAGTGGAGATCAGTAATGAACCCATATCATTTTCCCAGTACGCTCAGATTGAATTATTATAAAACGATTACGTGTAAATGCTCTTATGCTGCAGTTTTTTTGTGGTATTAAAACAATAGGGTTGTTTTTAGACCAGCTTACTGCTCACAAGTCGATTGAGCGGATGTGTTTTTCAGTTATTAGGAGTTTAAGGGAGCAAATGATAATTGAAATCTTGAGCAATGGGTGTTATGTAGTGAACTGGAAATGGAGTGCTGTTGTTGTTGTTGTTATTGTAGGGATGATGAGCATCTGCTGATCCAGCACTACTGCCAGAGTCTGAATCAAGGCTCTCCTCTCAGTCAGCCGCAGAGCCCCGCTCAGATCCTCATCTCAATGGAGACTGAAGAGAAGGGAGAGCTTGAGAGAGTGCTCAACGATCTGGAGCAGGAAAACAGGTTTGATTGCATATCCATTTCCTTTACAATTCAAATGATTTTTTTTTTTTTTTTAATGAAATAGGATGGTTGTACACTGGACTGTATTTCGTTAGCATATGTCTGGGATGACACATAAAACAGCTCTCTCCACTTATATACTTGCACAGCAATTTTTGAAAATCACATGTTTTAAGTATCTTACATTAAATTAGTGATTCTCAAAGTTGGTCACCAACTGTAAATGTTTTGAGGAAATGCTTAATGAAAATGGTCACACTTAATTATAAGGTCCAATTCTCACTATTAACAAACCATTAAATACGATTTTTGCCTAAACTCCTAATTTGCTGCTTATTAATAGTAAGGTAGTTGTTAAGATTAGGGATGTAGAATATGGTCATGCAGAATATGTGCTTTATAAGTACTAATAAACAGCCAGTATATTAATAATAGGCATGCTAATAAGCAACTAGTTAATAGAAAAAATTGGTCCCTATATTAAAATGTTACTATGATAATAATAAAATGCAGCTAACCATAATTGTGCATAGTAAATAAACAGGCTGATCAGCTTTCACAACAGAGATGAAAATGCCCCTATATCTTTTTTCTATATGAGCTCATCTGCATTTTATAATATTAATCGATTTAAGTATTTGATTGTGCTTTGAATAAGTGGTTCTCAAATTTGCTCAAAAGCATCTGACCATCCAAGAACTACCTAGCACACACAAATCTTCCCACGCTGCTGAGTCAAGTACGTGGGCTACACATTTGAGTCTAATATTACACACAGTGAGCTATATTAAAATTGTGAGTAGATGAGAAAGCAGAAATAATCAAACAGATTTAATATTGTTTCAAATATGCATTTTCTAACCCTAAAACACATTAGCAATATTTAAAAAGATATACAGTACCCTTCAAAAGTTTGGGGTCGATAAGGTCTCTTAAGCTGTCCAAGGCTGCATTTATTCAATAAAAAATACAATAAAAAGTAATATTGTGTACAAATTATTATCATTTAAAATAACTGTTTGCTATTTTAACATATTTTAAAATGTATTTTATTTCTGTGATGGCAATCGGAATTTTCAGCTGCCATTACTTTCATCATTATCCTTAAGAAATCATTCTAAAATGCTGATTTGCTTGCATTTATTATTATTATCAATGCTGAAAACGGTTGTGCTGCTTAATATTTTTGTGGAAACGGTGATGCTTTTTTTTTTTTTTTTAGGATTCTTTGATGAATAGAATTTTTAAAAAAAAGTCTTTAATGTTACTTTTGTTCAATTTAATGCATCCAGATTTTTGAACAATAGTGCATTTTGCTGCATGGTCTGCCAACCGTGCCATAGAAAACCAGCAGTCTATGCTAACAGCACATGCTTATTTATAGTCGCTTTTTTCTAGGCTTCTTTCTGAAGTTGTCTTCCCTGTTGTGCAGGAAGTTGCAAGCAGAGTACGATCGTCTGAAGAAGGCACATGACCACAAGGGTCTGTCGCCGTTGCCCTCACCCCCACAGATGCTGCCCGTCTCACCCCAGAGTCCACGCGACGCTGAACTGATCGCTGAAGCTAAACTACTGCGACAGCACAAGGGACGTTTGGAAGCAAGAATGCAAATCCTGGAGGATCACAACAAACAGCTGGAATCACAGCTCAGACGCCTTAGACAGTTACTTGAGCAGGTGGGTGGCACATATCCTTAAGATTTGATCAATGTTTATACTCTCTGCCAGTGAAAAACAACTTTTGGAAGTGTTGTTGAAGGAACTCGAGCAGTTGTGTCAGCTCCTGCCTTAAGTCTGAACTTTGCTATGAGTAAATGTCTTCGGATTGCACACTGATCATTGACAAGGCGTATTTCAAATCATAGCTGTGGAATGTAACACTGTTCATGTGCTTCCTTTGATTGTTGACACAAGAAATGAAATGCCCAGAGCATTGGTATATTTTAATGTCAGCTTTTGGCTTTTAATGTTTGTCATATTTGTAGTTCTATAAATAATTAACTTTGTTCGGAAAGTCGATATTTTTCAGTATATTAATATATATTAAGTATATTTATAGTTGATATTTCTCTTGACTCATTGCAATGCATTCTGGTACTTCTTTATATATGATCTATGAAGGACACGTGTAATGTTTCCTTAAAATTCGGCCAAAATGAGGCGTTTAAGCAGCTCACGAGGTTTAAAATGTGAGTTAGTTTTATCAGTTTAACAATTGTCAAAGGAAATATTTATGCTAAATTTAGATGCTGTCAGGATGAATATAGAAAGTGTTTTGTATAAGAGCTGGGATTTGCATCTACATGTGCATTTTGTACAGTTGCAAGTTCCAGGAATTTGTTAAAGAGTCTTAAGATTTATTTTGACACAATCTTCCTGAAATGTTTCATCTGTTTAAAGATGTTATTTTTCTGCAACTGTGTGGATTGAAGGCGTTGTTTTGAAAATAATATTGCTCATCAAATATGTTTTCTTTCTTTTGCGTTTGGAAATTGCAGTTTTTTTTCCCCATAAATGTTTAAACCAAAGACTTGGAACTATAGTATGGAATATTGTTGTTTTGTTTGAATGCAGACATCTCTGTTAATTGTCCTTGCAGGACAGCTGTTGGCATTCACTGTTCTGTATAATAACTACTACTCAGAATGATTTCAGTTTAGTCCACAGCACTGTGCAAGCCAAAATGATATTGATTGTGTTAAGTATACAGCTATATTCACGGCAAATCATTTTTAGCATGAAATACATGGACAGGATTTTAAATTAAATGCATCTTTATGGACTCATTCATACCGAAATGTACTCTAATCATTCAAGGGTTTGGTTTTGTTGTGTTGTTCAATCAGTTTATTTGATCAGACATGGTTTGAATAGTTTTTTTTTTTGTGTGTTAGAATTTGTAATTTTTTTTTTTTTTTTAAAGCATTGTTTAGTCTTTTTTTTTTTGTCAGATGACAGTTTTTTTCTGTCCTTATTGGCAGTATACTTTATACCGAATATTTCAATGAAGGTTGAATATTTTCCTGCCATACTTGCCACACAACAGGCATTGTGGATCCTGTCCTTATTAAAGCTGAGGAGGGATGCCAGTTCTTTTAGGTGGCCAAAAGAACATTTTGAGCGACCTGTCATTCTTCCTCAAGCAACCCATTTCTCTCTGTAATTTGTTTTTGGAGTTTGTTTGATGTCAACTTCTTCAGCAGTCTCCTTCTGCTTGAATAGAGGGGAAATCAGATATTCTGTCTGCATCATGTCTTGATGAATGAAGCGTATGTCTCGATGCTTACTTCTAAAAAACATTAGTCGACTGGGGGTCTCTGCCAAATGGATTTATATCAGATTTGTTCTTGAAGAATTGGCTTCATGTGTTCTCTGTGGACCCTTTGAACTAAAATCTCACTAGACTCCAGCTCCTTCCAGTGGCCGACTTGGCCGAAGCTAGAAGAACCAGACTCGATACACGCGGAGATAAATTAGCTCTCACTTTGTTCAGAGCCAATGGATTTTGGCTTCACATCATTGATGTTTTTTTTGTTGTTGTTGTTTATAACCCTCAGCTTCAGTTTTCTTTACGTTTACAATCAAGCCTTTACCTACCAGTGTATGTTCTTGTTTTAGTAGCATCAGTTACTTCACTTTTTATCTCTGTTATATGCTAATAAACATGTTCTTATGTTTAACATATGCGCATGTGTTTCGCTTGGCAAATATCTCAAGGAAGACCAATGAAATCACCAGAACCATCACTCTTTATTCAAGAGGGCTGTTTGGTCTTATGTTATGAATTGTTAATGGTGGAAGTTTTAAACACACTCATTAAAGCACACTTTAAATAGTTGTGCAGTGACAAACCAGTTTATCATTAAAGCAGATTGTACTGTAATTGTAATTATGTATCAGTTATAAGATACATGAGTAAATAATATAGCCAAGAAGACTTAAAAAAAATAATAAATTGAATTGAAATACTTGTATTTATCAAGGATGCATTAAATTGATCAAAAATGTAGTATGGTCTTTCTGTTCATCAAACGTTCATCAAAGAATCCTGAAAAAATATATAAAACCTGTAAAATATATTAAAATAGGTATAGTGATTTTAAATTGTAATATTTCACAATATTATTGTTTTAACTAGATTTGTATGAAATAAATGCAGCCTTGGTGAACCTAAGAGACTTACAGTCCCAAACCTTTGAATGGTAAACTAATTAACAGTAATACTTGAAATAAATAATAAGTAAATATTATTATATTAATGGATGCATATGAAACAGACATTAAAAGTTTATAATATATAATGTGTTAATATTATTGTAATAATATAGTATATAATATAGGATATTAACAATATTCAGCCCTGAATGAATGACAATGAATGTACAATTTACATGTTTGCTAAAGGGGTTTGTGACATCTGTGAATGTTTTTGAACACGTTAACGGTCTGGGTTATTTTATTTCTATATTTTAGCGGCATCAAGTCCACTATTTTGTGTTTATCCTTGTGTTATTGTTTTGTCTTGACTGTCTTGTTTCTGAAAAACTGAATGATGCAAAAACACAGCAACTCTAAGAGCCCTTGCTCTTGTTTTATACTGCAATTGTTAATGTTTTGAGAAAGTCCTTGGGGAAAAATTCAGTAACTCGTCAATAAATGTTTGGAGAGGGTTTAAAAACTAGGCAGTAAAAGAATGTGAAGTCTTAGATTGAAAATATATAACTGAATGTTTGCAAATGAATCTGGAGATACAGAAGTACAACCCAGTGCTGATGTTTGCGTCCAGTCCCCTGCCTAATCTATATGGTTCCTTTCTACCTATATCCTAGCCACAGACTGAGTCCAAGGTGAATGGCACTGCCCTGTCCTCCCCCTCCACTGCCTCTCCGAGATCTGACACCAGCCTGGCCTCACTGCGTGTGGCCGCAAGCCAAACCACAGAGACGATGGGTAAATGTCCCTAACAACTTCAGTTTAACCAGTTTAAACCTAACTCATTAAACAGATTGAACTTGTTTTGAAATTTTAAGCAGGCTAAAGAATAATAATCGATGGCATATCAGCATATTGCGTATTGATCCTTAGCAAGATAGTGAAATGTATGGAAGCCTGTTTTAGCCACAGAATAAAAATAAAAAAGTAATTGCGATTTTTTTTTTTATCTCACAATTCTGAATTTTCTTGCAATTCTGAGTTTATATCTCGCAAAATTGCCGTTAACTCAATTGTGAGTTTGTAACTTGCAGTTACATGACAAAAAAAGCAGATTTGCAAGTAGGGCTGGGTATCGAGTTCGATACTTTTTAGGCACTGACCGAAATGCCTCGATACCATCGAGTATCGAAAAACGTCTCGTCGTTCGGTACCAAATTTTGATACCAAAGGGGTTAATCTCATCAGCGTCAGTGAGCAAATAAGCCTGCAGCACTAGACGGTGTGTTCGACTAGAAGAGGTGCGGCACAGATCGATCAGTGTTTGACATCCGCGAGAGCGATTCGAAAGCGCACGGAGCAGTCTGCTCTCTTTAGCTCTCGTGGTACTGTAATACACCGATCGGTCTGCACAGTCAGTCCGCGTCAAGTCGAACACACCTACTAGTTTACACCGGTTACACTGTGTTACAATGCTAGTTTACACGGTTACAATGCGTCCCAGCCCCCTTAGATGTAAGGCTACATTTACACTGGTGCGTTTATGTTTTAAAATGAAAATGATCCTCGTCATACTGGCGTTTCCACTGCGTTTCAATATATATCGAAAATTTTTGAACGATACCCAGTCCTATTTGCAAAGACGTAAACTCAGAATTCTGAGAAACAAGTCAGAACTATGACATAAACAGAATTGCGTATTGTGAGATGTAAACCTGGAATCGCAAGAGAAAAAAGTCAGAATTTTATATCTCACAATTATGACTACTTTTTTTCCTCAGAAAAGTCCAGATTGTGAGACAAAAAGCTGCAATTACCTTTTTATTAATTTTTTGTTTTTTTTATTCTGTGACAGAAACAAGCTTCCATAGAAATATATATGTAGACAGTTAAATATTATATTAAATAAATATTTTTTTTATTATTAATTCAAATAATAGGCAGCACATTGTCTTCCATTTTGGTGTATCTAGAATTTTTCTGTGTACAAGTAAAAGCTAGTCATTAATGCAATCTCTTCTATCTGCCCACGGTTAAAAATTTATTAATTCATTTCTTAATTTTTACTAGTTAACTGACATGCATAGTAATTATTATGTTTAATAGCTGTACTTGTGAAGCTTTCATTGTATGACTTGGCTTGAAGCCCAGGCTGGTTTCAGCAAAAGATTTTCAGAATGGATAAAAAGAGGCTATGTTCTTATCTGTGCCAAACAAAAAGGAACACAGGGAGCTTTTATTCACGTATGGATACAAAAGAAGTGTTTTTGTCTTTAACTGCTAGCCAACATCTTATTTGTTGCCTTCATTTTGAAGAAAACATGGTCCAACAAAATTGGGTGTACTTCAGTATTTGAAGAACAAACACCAATCAGTGCAGTTTGACATTTACGATTCAGGTCATCTAGAATGCCTTCCTATAGTGTACTTACTGCTTTTATTGATTTATGCTTTTATTTCACCCCAGAGGCATGTATATATTTATGGAACTGGTATTTATAGTTTTACATGCCATTAGTGCTATTTTCCAGTTTTTCAGTGTTCTGCAGTGTGATACATCTAATACTATTTCACACAACATTTTCTAATCCTTGTTTGATTAGTATACATGCCATTTTAATGATTATATGATAATGCTATATGGGTTATTTCTGCTCAAAAATTTATTCATCACACCATGAGCATTTTAAACAAACTGCAAGCAAAAGGTGCAAAAAATGTGGGAAAAAAGCCAATTTCAGCACCTTAAAAATTTCTTCTTTTTTTTTACATCATTTTTTCAAATCCTTTCTAATGTTATGTCAATGGCCCAGTAGCTTAATTTGTTTCTTCTTACACATTATAACCTCTTACATTTTAATGATTATATGATAATGCTATATGGGTTATTTCTGCTCAAAAATTTATTCATCACACCACGAGCATTTTAAACAAACTGCAAGCAAAAGGTGCAAAAAATGGGGGAAAAAAGCCAATTTCAGCACCTTAAAAATGTCTTCTTTTTTTTTACATCATTTTTTCAAATCCTTTCTAATGTTATGTCAATGGCCCAGTAGCTTAATTTGTTTCTTCTTACACATTATAACCTCTTAGTTATTGTTTTATCTGTGTAACTGTTAATTATTTTGTACAGTTATTGTGTTTGCGTAACTAAAACCAGAGCGTCGATTTATTTTTAGAATCATTCTTGCTGTGACAACTATGATTCTGATACACATTTAAAAATGTTATGTTTTGTTTTATAATGGGTTCCTTTGATTTATTGCATGAGCCTAACATAACACTTTGTCAACTTTTTTTTGTAGTTGTTTTCTTGTGACACACTAGTCTCAAAGAATTAGCTGTTGTAATTTGTAATTTTTATCAAAATTACCTCAGTTGGACCCATGAAATTGTGAAATGTATATGATTATGTGACAATGCATCTTACTTTTATATTTACATAATTTTCTTGACAAAAAGACAAAAACTCAAGATAACCTTTGTCAAGATCACAAAACAAGATGGTTTACAAGTATGTATTTTTCCTTTCTTTTGGATATTTTACTTTGGCCAGTTCTGCTTGAATGTAAAATCGACGTATTGAGCTAAACTTGACTGCTTCAGTTCTTTTTTTTCTTCTCATTTCACATGCATTTGGCATGTGTGTTATGATGTTGAATGAGATCTTTCATTTGTAACATTGACTATTTGAACTCTGTGTACTTCCATTTGAAGCACACTGGTTGTTTCTGGATTTCAGTTGTTAGAATGATGATAGAAGTTGTAGATAAATGAATGAAGTTTTGAATGGAAACATTTTTACTAGTGCTCTCAGACTATTGGACCGTATAATACTGTATATGAGAGTCCTCAACATCACCTTCAGTATTATCCTCTGAGTCAATAATACAGGCAGCAAACACCATCTCTGTTTAAATATGAAATGTCTCGGGCGGCAGGACAACATCCAGGGTTTTTAAGGTCAGTTCTCAGTTTTAATTGGTTCACTGCTGTGTGTTTCAGATGATGATGAGCTGTCCAGTCCCTCCCAGGATGCAAGCACTGGCTTAGAGGACGTCATCGAGCAGCTCAACGATTCCTTCCCTCACAGCCAAGGTGAGAGTCCAGCTACACTGTCTGCTACAAACACTTCCGTTAATCCAACAAACTGATGCAGAGAGTCTCAAATTGGCCAAAAAGTATGTACTTTTTTTTTTGTTTTTTTTTTTGCATTCTCATTTGCTCCAATACTTGATAAAAAAAATTAAAAAAAAAACTTTGTTAATGCCTGGAAACTGGTCATCACAGTCTATGATTGCATTGCATGTATTGCAGTAGTTTAAGGTGCCAGTAATTGCAAATTGACAGTTATTTTAAGATATAGTACTATTTTGGATTCCTTTTTAAGCAATATGGAGAAAAATATTATTTTGCGATGAACGCCACCTGTAAATTTCTCTGACCCACTGCTTTTCTACTCTTTGCATGATTAAATTGCTATGTGACACTTTATGTTTCTACGTCCTGCTATAAACGGATGACGGGAGACTATTTTAGTATAATAACATATTTTTAAAAATTACTTTTAAATGACAGAATGAGTCTTCAACTGTAAAGAAATTATTAACATTGATGTACATTCTTCTTAAGCTGTTTCTCTTTTTAACAGCGACTCTTAACAGGATATGTATTGTGAGAAGCACAGAATTGCAAATGCATAACAATCCAAAAAAACGTATGTTTATGTAATTAAAGCATTAAACACCATCTTGTTGCATCCATTGTGCTTGCAGTACAAATCCTGTTTAGATTCAGTCTATAACTGCCTATCCCTATTCCAACTTTACTGATTTTTCTTATTTCCTGTTTTCCTCTGTGTCTAAGGAGGTGGACGGCTAAACCCATGAGAGGTTAGTATCGTTACTAACCCTTTACTCTTTTCACTCTTTTCCAGCCTTACTTATCCACTTTACACTATGGTTTGAAGACGTTTCTTAAGTTCACCAAAGCTGCTTTTATTTAGTCAAAAATACAGTATAAAAAAGTAAAAAGATTATTACTGTTTAAAGTAACTCTCTTTTACTATTTGAATATATTTTAAATAAACACATTAATTCCTGTGATGGCAAAGCTAAATTTTCAGTCTTCAGTGTCACATGATCCTTCAGAAAGCTTTCTGCATTTGCTGCTCAAGAAACATTTAGATAAACAGTTGTGCTGATTTTTGTGAAACAACTGTGATGCATTTTTGATGAATATATCCAGGTTTTTTGATTAATAAAAAGCATTTATTTCTTTTGTAGCATTATAAATGGTCTGCTGTTACTTTGAATCAATTTCATTTTAAAAAATGGACTCACAAGGACTTGCAGACACAAACGCACTCTGTTGCTTTATAGAGATGTATGTGTAGCAGCGCTGCTTCGTGCATATAGTGTTAGATTGCGTTTTCAGACACTGACGTCAGATTTTGTTTTTCGTCTCCCGCAGGTCCTAATGTGGGAAGTCTTTTCCACATGGTTGATAACATTGGACATGCCATGGAGTCGTTGGTTAATGTAATAACTGAGGAGCGGGATTTAGACTGAAGATGTCTTCTCCTAGTTGCATGCTTTTTGTAGTGTCAACAACTGGACAGGATATGTTTACAATGGGAATATAAATAAAAATCTATTTTTCTGAAGGATCGCGGTTCCACATTGTAGATTTGATCTTTAGTAGTTTCTTACAGCCAGTCTAGAATTGTTTATTAATTAAAAAAAGGTTTTTAAACTTCTATGCAATTGTACAAAAATAGAACGACAGGTGTGTGATAACATGCAACATTACGTGCCATGTCTTTGTACGGAGTGGAGCGCATTTTAAAAAAGTGTTTTGTCTAAATGGGTGACTGAGTATACGCAAGGGTGCTTTATCAACTAATTTTGTTTGTAACAAAATAACAAATGCATATTAAAAGGCAAGCCCGTTATACTTGTGCGTGTGCGAAAGAGTGTGTGTTTGAAACATGTCTGTATGTTTTTCTGTACAATATGTAACCCGTCCCGTTCAACTACTGCAGACATCATGCAAAGAAAAGACATTTGTCATGATTTATTATTATTATTATTATTATTAAAGGCATACTGATTAAGGTTAAATACTGTCTACCTCACAGATATTCACTTTCTTCATGCTCTGTCCGTGCTTATTAATGGAGCAATAAGAAGCATGATCATAGTATTTGTATATTATTGACAACTCTCATGTTAGAGAGTTTTTTTTTTTTTTTTAAAGCTTGTTTCCACCACGGAATAAAAAAATTACTTTTTGTCTGAATTCTGACTTCTTTTTTTTCTCAGAATTGTGACAAAATCACAATTGCAATTGAGTTGTGAGATTAAAGGCACAATATGTAATTTTCACCGCTAGGGGGCGCATATTCAAAATAAACAAAGAGGCAAAGGCGTAGTTTGATGATGCAGTGACTGAGTATGGAATCATGGGAGTTGTGGTCTTCATCCCCACAGCCGATGCAATCCGACGGGACTCGGGCAGAAATCATGTTCATGGATGAGCTAATGATTTAGCAATTACCATTTTTATTACATGGTGGGAAGAAAAATAAAATAGAATTGTGAGATGTAAAAACTGAATTGCTAAGAAAAAAGTCTGAACTGAGTTCAAATCTCGCATTTCTGACTTTTTTCTCAGAATTGTGAGGGAAAAAAAGTCTAAATTGTGAGATGGAAATGTTGTAAATGGGCTTCTGTTCCTTACAGAATGAGAATTGATCTAGTGTTTCAATCATATGGTGTTAGTTGTATTTCCATTTCCAAGTAACAAATTAAGAGAAAAGTACATCCAGTCCACTTTACAGAAATGTTACAGAATTGGGGTTGTGTTGTTAAAAACTAAGCAGTAAGAATATTTGACAATTCTAATGAGTGAGCTCTAATAAGCATAAATGAAAGGTAGCACATACTCAGTGTTATAATAATATAATGCCTGATTGAAAATTTTCATCTGGGGTTATTTATTGTCATTGACATCTATACATGCTAGCAAACAATAGCACTGAAAATCAATTTTTTACAGAAATGTGCAAATTTACACTACACTTGAGATGATGAAATGAGATGCGTGATTCTGCTTTGCATTGTTCTTTAACACATCCGAGTTTGTTTCTGTGTGATTGAGATGTTTGTCATTTTATTAGACCTTTATGCTTTGTGTGAACACATATATAGAAATAAATGATCATAATGTATATGTATGCACAACCGTTATAACTACAAAACAGTTTTGCACCTTGGAGATGAGCATGTTCAGAGTACTGCATATTTATTTCTGAGATGAGCTATTTGATGCTAACTCTTGTTCTGGAATCATACATTTTATTTGTAATTGCAAAAGGACTATTTTACCAGACAATGAAATGTAATTGTGGTTTTCTTAACTTGCTGCTGCATTAGTTGATAAAAATGGAAATACATTTTTGCCACCGTTTGTCTGTTTTATTATGAATTCATTGTGCCACAGTGTAGGTAAATGATTGCATTATCATCTGACATACTCGGCAATATTTCAACTGAAAATGTGTTGGTGAAATTAAATTTTAGATATTAAAAAGAATGTCAAGCTACCATGTGGCTTTAAAACCAACCTGGTGGCTTAGTGTAGATATGTGAAATAATAAATGAACTGAAGCAGCTAATTAATATCCTCAAAAGCACTTGATGATTTGATCAGGGTTGGGTCTGAACTCTGCAGGTAAGTGTATCTCCAGGAACAGCATTGGACATCCATGATTTAACATCTGTCAGGAATGTAGATGCACTGTAGATCAGCAAACCTCAGGTTATCAGGTGAACAGGTGACATGTGTGGTATGCCATTACAAAAGTGAAACTAAGAGCAGAAACAGAGAAAACCAAACAACAGATGATCAGATTTTCTTAGTAAGATCTCGGTAAGAGCTGCATTTTGGATTACATGAATGCTTCACACTTCTGTAATTGAATGGTGAGGTAAGTTACACAGGGACCATTTAGGGCAGTGCTGGACCTGTTTATTTCCCAACCACAGTAGAGTTTCCCTGTTTTTCCCCTGGTGGTCATGAATTTTACTTTCCAAGAAGAAATGTCTATATATACACGCAACAGGAATGAGTGATAAAAAGATAGATAAATAATGTTTTAATAAAAAAATAGTGTTTGTCATTCTAGATGTAAATTTAAAATTAAATCAACGTCGACATTTGACAAATAAAACAAAAATATTACAAAATTAAATATTGTTTTAATTATCTGTATTTTTATTATTTGGACTTTCATCCCATATATCACGTTTTAGATGTGTTTTTTTTTAATTATTTTTTTATAACCCCATCTCAAAGAGGAAGCTGTTGAGTCATATTGCTCCTGGTTCCCCTTGAGCACATGACAAACAGACACTGAAGTTTAAAAGCTCCCAGCCGCTGCTTGGCCCATCAGTGATGTTGTCAGTCATGTTTGTGAAGCTCAGAGTGTTGGCTCTCATATTCTTTGTGACAAAGGATGTTTACCCCACCTACGCTGGTCAGTATTGCTTGCTTATTTATGATTATGATTGTTGATTTAGGTAACCATTTAAAATTAAGTATGGCATATATTTATTCTATGTTTAGTTTATATTAATAGACTAAATTCTATTTTTTATTTCTGTTTGCTTTTATTCTATTCATTTAAAAGTATTCTTAAGAATGACTAATTTTGACCTTTACAAAATATTTTATTATAATAAAGTGTATTTTAATAATTTCCCAATAATCATTATATGCAGTATCAAAGGGTCCTAAAAGTCTGTGTGTGTGTATGTACATATATATATATATATATACACACACACACAAACATACCTACATATATGACAAATGATTCTTTCCAAGCAAAACATACAATTCATAGGTTTTAAATGATAAACCACAGATAAGCTGTTAAGAAGTGGTTGTCTGGTTGTCAAAGGTTAGTGGAACATTACCATATAATGCACCTGTGGTTCCTCTGCTATAGGACACCTGTGTGAAATTCAGAGGAACTGACTTCACACATCTACTAAACACCAACCTGACATCAACTGATTAAAAGTAACTTTTACAGTTAATTTTGTGAATAGCATAATTTGTTTGCGCATGTCACTTCTTCAGAAATGTTATTTAGTGCAGCGGCTTTCAAACTGGGTCACGACCCACTGGTGGGTAGCAGACAGGAAATGCATATGCAGCACAAAGTGTACATTTGTTTCAAAAGATATATGTATGTGCATATTTCTGACACCTTCACACTATCCAAGATGTATGAGTTTGTCTCTTGATCAGAACAACTCTGGAGATATTAAAGCAATAAGCCCCGTGAAGCCGTGGTTTACAGTGAATTTATAACAGCTAAGGGGGTTTTAGGCACTCTGCTTCGCGTCGTGCCTAACTTAGCTGTTATAAATTCACTAATGTAGTTCCTCAGAAACAGCTGTGGTTTCAACAAAGTGGTTGCCGAGCAACATACAGAAGTAAACAAAGGTGTTTGTTTGTAGTGTAATTTACAACAGCTTTGAACGCGGCTCAGCCAATCAGAATCAAGGACCGGAACGATCCGTTTTATAATTAGCATTACATCACTTGCTCAACAATGGATGCTCTGCAGTGAATGGGTGCCGTCAGAATGAGAGTCCAAACAGCTGATAAAAACATCACGATAATCCAAGCAAGTGAAGAGCTGCGTGTTTGTAGGAAACAAATCCATAATTATAGCTTTTAAAACATGATTTCAGCTGAAATATGAGTCCATAATCCATAATAACACTTCTTCTAGTGAAACAGTCCATCCTCTCTTCTCCTCTCACATCAAAATCCACCAGCATTTTTGTTTAGAATTGTTTTGGTCTGTATTTGTGCATATTTCTCTCCTGATTCAGACAAGATGACTTTTTCTCTGGAAACAGCAATATTACAGCACCAGTGAAGTTTAAAACGTCTTGATGGATTTGATTCTTATAAACATGCAGCTTTTCACTTCACAAGATGTTAATTGATGGACTGGAGTTGTGTGGATTGCTTATGGATTACCGTGATGTTTTTTTATCAGCTGTTTTGACTCTCATAATACTTTATATACTTTATAATTCTTAATCCCAATACTTTATGGAGCCACTTCATCAGATGATAAAAGCTGTATAATGTATTACTGACAGTGTCATATTGTTTTACTTTAGAAACAAAACTGGCTGCACCCCAAAACGTGAAGGTGACCTCCATCAATATGGCTACAGTTGTCGAATGGACTTCTCCACACAATCCCATGAGTAACGTGACATACACAGCAAGATATATGTGAGTACACTCAAAACACATCTGAAATAATCCAATATGGAAGAAAAAAAATGAAACTGCATGCAATTATGAAATATACCCATCACGATGTGTTTGATCAGCTATAAAAAAAAATATGCACTGAACTATTGTTCTGCTGGAATCTGATACTTCTGAGTTTTTGCAGAAGTTGAAAAGAATAGGCCTATTGTGTGAACAAAATATTTGCCTTATGTACTTACGGAAATAGTGTGTCCTGTTGTGTTTGTCATTGTGTCCTTGTAGCCTGAGAAAAAAAAAAGCTTCCATCTGTGTGAACACCAAACAGCTGAAATGTGATGTAGGAAAGCTGCCATCTGTATTTGGGTGCTACATTTTTCAAGTGCGGGCAGAGGATCAGGGGCTGTTCTCTGAGTGGGTTAATGCAAATGAATTTTTACCAAATAAGCACAGTAAGTGTGAATCAGCTCTTAGTTTGTACTATAGACTCTGTTGTGTTGTTAAGTCAAAGTAATATTCATCAATAATAATTATATGAACTACTTTGCTCCAATGTAGCGATCATAGGACCCCCTACTGTGCATCTTGCCATCCAAAATAATACCTTGGATGTGCACGTCCAAGCTCCAGTGCTGAAAGTGGGCAAACTAGCAGTCCTTTTTTCACAAGTGTCCTACATCATCAGATATTGGACCGAAGGCTTTGAAGAGGAGGTATAAAATGCTTCACAACTTCAGTTACATTTTTCAGAAGCTTTGTTATGCCATCTGTTTATGTGCAAGTTAAGATATGTGATTATGCTTAGCCTATATGTCTTCATTTCAGCAGAGTGATAAACTAAAATTAGAACCATTAAAATATTATTAAAGTTATTAAAAAAAAAATACAGTTAAAATGACAGTAAAATTGCAAAAACCTTAAAATTGAAAATTGAAAATATAAAGAAATTAAAGTTTTTTTTTTTTTTCATTATTGTCACCATTTAGTGAATGGCTTATGCTGGATTGATAAATAGACAATTTTAAGTATTTATTTATTTTTATTAAGAGCTGCCCTACTGGAGAGAGAGCGAGAGAGAGAGAAAAGAATCATTACATATAAATGGGGGAAAAA